TTCGATCTTTAGTGTTTAATATATCAAATCTGTTCTTTAGATGATCTCTAAATTCATGTGGTCACATTTTGGCTCTTGTGGATTTTTTTTCATTTTCTTCAGCTTCAGTTTGAATTTACACAGTAATACATAGGATGTCGATTTTTATGTGTTCTATTTCATTTTTGACAACTTTCAATTTTCCTTGATTTATACTTCCTACATTCAATTTCCTTGATTATTAATCAATGTTTATATCTGTTTCTCTTCATTTTGAGTTATGTCTCATCAAGCAAATTTAGGTTCTGAAATCTTTAATCCATTCAAGTCATACCATCATAGTCAACTCTGCCAAGGCAGCTCTTCTCTAGTTGCAGTTTGAGTGTCTTCCAATCTGAGGGGCTCATCTTACAGCACTATATCTGACAATGTTTGTCTGTTATTTTTCAATCAGAGTAAATATTCAGATGAGGTTGGCCCAGGATCGGGCAGTGTTTTGTTCTGCTATGCATAAGGTCACTATGAGTCAGTACCGACTCGATGGTACCTAACAACAATAACAATATTCAGAAGTAGTCCTCCCCTCCATCTTCTCAGTTTGTCTGAGTCTGGGAATTCAACTGACACCTGTTCACCATAGGTTACCCTGCTAGTATTTAAAATATTGGTGGCATAGCCTCCAGCATCACAGCAATACACAAGCAACCACAGCATGACAAACTGACAAAGAAATGGTAGACTAGGAACTGCACCACCTCCATTATCAATATCCCTTCCCTTTTTGCTTAGGTTGTAAAAATCTGATTAATATAGAAATGTTTACCCATAAGGTAGCTATAAAAATTATCTAAGCCAAAAAATAATCCCGAATCACATCAGCACACACTAACCTTTCAACAGCTGGGACAGAACTGAGATGTGGATCATCCTTAAGCAAGTCATGACTACTTTTGCTTTTCCCTTTCATACTCTGGAAAGGAAAGTATGATATAATTTTAAGTCAGCAAAAATAATATTTAAAAAAAAAAAAAACACAAATTGACAAATTTATATAAATTCTAGTACTGATATTATGTGATTAGCAAAAGATACATTCCTGAAAAATTCAGTATAAATTAAGTTTTATAAATAAGAATCCTATTATCCTATTAACTAAAAATACTAATCAAGAAATACCTTTTTTCCCAGGAAATAAATTCATTGATTACCACATCTAAGCACTAAGTCTTTATCATTAAACTAATTCACTTTTCTTATCCATATATTATAACTTAGAAGAGACATCCATAAGAGAAATGTGAAACAAATACACACTACTAGTCTTCAAATAAATTGTCTATATTTCACATAATAACTTTAAAGGATGTACTCTAACAACTAAATGATTGAACTTCAAAGAACTCATTGTCCTTGAGCCATACAGACTCTACAACACAAAGTGGAACAGCTCCATAGAGTTTCTAAGACTATAATCTTAATGGAAGAGTCCTGGTGAGGCACTATGGCTTAATGTGCTAGACTGCAAAGTCGGTTTGATCCTCAAGGTTGGTGGTTCAAGATCACCAGCCACTCCTCGGAAACCCTAGACAGGGTCACAATGGGTTGGACCCAACTTGATGGCACTGAACAACATCAACAGCAATAAATATTTATGGGAGTAGAATGCCACATCCTTCTCCCATTGAACAGCTCCCATCTTCTGACTAGAAATACTTTAATGACCTCACCACCAGGGCTTCTTCATATGTATTTTACAACAGTAATTAATAACTGGTTTCAATTTATATCCCAATATTCTTATTTAAAAAAGTAATGATGAAAAAGCAAAACATCAACTAATTATTTGATAATATATTTGTCCAACTATAAAGAATTGGGAAATAAAGGTAAAAAAATCAGAAGATAGTGTGGAACAAAAAACAAAAAGATGATAGTTGGATCAAATGGATCAAATCTATTTAATCAAATGGATTAAAATATATTATTACACAATTATACAACATGTGTTTTAGCCCTAATCTTGTGCCATTTGGGTTAATATTAGAAATCAGGTCTCTACGTTCTTGGGCCATATATAAGCTATACTACTTCATTTAGTTGTAAATGTTAGTTTTTAAGTGTTCACAATTTTATTAAACTCGTTCTCTAAAATTTTGATTTAAACATTTTAAAGGGAAAAGAAGATTGTGTTAACTAATTTAAAATAATATGGAGCCTATGAATTAACCTGAATAATTGTTACTATTGCAAATAACTTTTCCAATTAAATTTGCATAGAAGTCTACAACTGAAGCAATCAGGAGCTCTAAAGAGGGTAAAAATCAATTCAGACCATTCTCTTTAATGTCTACTTTTTCTAAACAATCTATTTTATTGTAAGATTCCTATTTATATTATTTGGAGTCCTGTTTTGGCACAGCAGGATAAGCACTGGACTGCTAAACTCAAGGTCAGCAGATCAAACACACCAGTCACTCTACACACTATACAGGACCAAAACCACTCAACAGCAGTTAACAACAACAACATTTATGTCATTACATAACAATAGTTTTAGAAGAAAAACAAATACCTAATACATCTGATATAAGGGAAAAAGAGATCCTATGTTTAACGATGTAAAAATTATACAGATTATTTATTAAGTCTTAAACAAGAGTGAACACAAGACAAACACAAACACAGATCACCCGAGTGAGGGAAATCATAGACACCATGATGAGTCTCCAAAGTTCTATCTCCACATAGTGGTGTTTTAAAAGTTCAGAGGAAAAAAAACGTCTCCTCCACAGCCATGACTGACGACAGCAGCTATACATCACACATGCATGCTGGGCCTACGGAAACCAAGGAGGGGACTACTACAGATAGGAAAGCTTAGTCTCTAAGGCTCTTGGGAAATGACATCACAACTAGGAGACTATTAAAGGATTGTTGTTGTTGTTGTTGTTGTTAAGTGCCGCAGAGTCGGTTCTGAACCATAGTGACCCTGTATAGGGTTTCCAAGGAGCAGCTGGTGAGTTTGAGCCGCCAACCAGATCAAAAGGCTTTGTAGTCTGGCACATTAACCCACAGCACCACACCAGGACCGCAGATGCATTAAAGGATATGTCTAGGAATATTCCTGAAAGAGAAGTGTCCCCAAACCCAATTTCGATATATTGTTGCTGCCTCTGGCAGTTAGAAAAATTGACATCTGAACATTTAAACCAAGGAACAACATGAATGGAGTTATTTGTAAGCAAAAAGCCTTTAGATTTCATGCTCTATGGTCCTGGGTGGCACTGTGGGCTAATGTGTCAGACTGCAAAGTCGTTTGAACTACAAGGTCGGTGGTTCAGGCTCCAGCTGCTCCTTGGAAACCCTACACAGTGCCGTGATGGTCAGAATCGACACAGCAGCACTTAACAACAACAATATAGCACATTTTAAAATAAATTTTAAAAAACACATAGAAATAAAAAAGCAGGCTAGCTGAAAAGTAGTTTCTAAACAAAAGATAAATGTAAGGTGAATTAAGTGTAAGGACCTTCACAACAGATTCAAAATTATCTGTAAATAAATCCAAAAGGATCACCAAAGGGGATGTGAGAAATTTCTACTTCCTACATGGACCTAACCAGATGCAATAGATAGAAATCAAATTGACTACATCTGCGGAAAGGGATGATAGAAAAGCTCCATATCATCAGTGAAAACAAGGCCAGGGGCAGACTGTGGAACAGACCATCAATTACTCAAATGCAAATTCAAACTGAAACTGAAGAAAATGAAAACAAGGCCACAAGAGCCAAAATATGACCTTGAATATCTCCCACATGAATTTAGAGATCAACTGAAGAACAGATTTGGTGCATTAAACACTGAAGACCGAAGACCAGAAGAGTTGTGGGATGACATCAAGAACATCATACATGAGAAAGCAAAAAGTCATTGAGAAGACAAGAGAAGTTAAGATCAAAATGGATGTCAGAAGAGACACTGAAACTTGCTCTCCAGTGTAGAGATGCTAAAGCAAATGGAAGAAATGAAGAGGTACAAAAGCTGAACAGAAAATTTTAAAAGGTCAGCTCAAGAAGACAAATTATAATAAAATGTACAACAATCTGGAGTCAGAAAACCAAAAGAGAGGAACACATTCAGCATTTCTCAAGCTGGGGAAACTGAAGGAAAACTTCAAGCCTTGACGTTCATTATTGAAGGAGTCTCTAGGCAAATTATTGAATGATGCAGAAAGCATGAAAAGAAGATGGAAGGAATACAAAGAGTCACTGTACCAAAAGGAAATGGTTGATGTACAACTGTTTCAAGAAGTAGCATATGATCAACAGCCAATGATACTGAAGGAAGAAGTCCAAGGTGCATTGAAGGAATTGGCAAAGAACAAGGCACCAGGAATTAATGGAATAAAAATTGCAATCTTTCAAGAAAGTGAGGTGGCACTGGAGGCACTCATTCATCTGTGCCAAGAACTTTGGACGACAACTATCTGGCCAACTGATTAAAAGACATCCGTATTTGTGCCCATTCCAAATAGACCCAATGGAATGAGGAAATCATCCGACAATCTCTTTGATATCCCGTACAAGTAAAGTTTCACTAAAGGTAATACAGAAACAGCTGCAAGCAAACATTGAAAGAGAAATTCCAGAGGTTCAAGGCGGATTCAGAAGAGGACGTGGAACGAGGGATATCACTGCTGATGTCTGATGGATCTTGGCTGAAAGCAGAGAATATCAGAAAGATGTACTTATATAATACCTATTTATAATTGTAATAGTTGTATAACCAGCATACATTTTTTGAACCCTAAAATGTTCTTAACACTGTGCTAGGTTTAGTGAAGTCCAAAAGTAGCACAAAATACTGTCCTTATCTGCAAATTGATTCTAGTCTTCTTCAGGACACAGTTAATAAACAGACTCAATATAATTTATTCCAAAAAAAAAAAAAAGAGGTAGCATATGATCAAGAGTCAATGGTTCTGAAAGAACTTCAAGGTACACTGAGGCATTGGCAAAGGACAAGGCTCCTGGAGTTCATGGAATACAAACAGAAATCTTTCAACAAACTGATGCAGCACTGGAGGAAATCACTCATCTATGTCAGGAAATTTGGAAGACTGCTACCTGGCCAACTGATTGGAGGAGATCCATATCAGTACCCATTCCAAAGAGAAGTGACCAAATGAAATAGGAAATCAGTGGGCAATATCATTAATATCACATGCACGTAAAATTTTGCTAAAGATAATAGAAAATGGCTGCAATAGTACATTGACAGAAGTTCAAGCTGAATTCAGATGAGAACATGGAATGAGGGATATGATTCCTGATATCAGATGGACCTTGGCTGAAAGCAGAGAATATCAAAAAGATATTTACCTGTGTTTTATTGACTATGCAAAGGGTTTGGACTATGTGGCTCATGACAAGCTATGGACAACCTTGCGAAGTATGAGTATTCTGGAGCACTTAATTGTGCTCATAAGGAACTAGTACATAGACCAAGAGGAAGCTGTTCGAACAGAACAATGGAACACAGAATGGTTTAAAATTAGGAATGGTATGCACTAGGGTTGTTTTCTTTCATCATACTATTCGATCTGTATACTGAGCAAATAATCTGAGAGGTTGGATAATATGAAGAAAAGCATGGCATCGGAATTAGAGGATGACTCCTTAACAACCTGCAATATGCAGATGGTACAACCTTGTTTGCTGAAAACAAAGAGGGCTTAAAATACTTACTTATGGAGATCAAAGTCTTAGTTATGGGTTGTTCCTCAAAGTAAAGAAAACTAAAATCCTCACTACTGGACAAATAAACAACATCCATATAATGGAGAAAAGCTTGAAGTTGTCAAATACTTCAGTTTGCTTGGTCCAGCATCATCACTCATGGAGGCAGCAGTCAAGAAATCAGAGGGCATTTTGTATTAGGCAAATCTGTTGTACAAGACCTATTTAA